CTTCCTCATCATCACCTCTTGGTGATCAACTTCTGGAAAAATCAGCCATGGAAAACCATATGGCGCAGTTTTACTCTGGCACCCATGATGTTACCTTGAGCTGGAGTTGATACAATGGCAAATGGTTAGGTTTTTAGCTAGTGATAGTCACCTACTCATAACTAAAGATGAATTTAACCATCAAGTCTTTCAAATAACATTTACATTGCTTTTATGCTTGGCCAAACTATCAACTTTTCTGCAATCCTATTTTCTAGGTTTTTTTTTTTTTCTTTTCCTCAAGCCAGTCTTTTCTTTTTTTTTAGTTATATTAAAAGACTTTATATTTAGGTAACAGAATAGAATGCTCATTTGCCGTAAACAGCACTATACTATACATTATTCAGTTTCAGCATTTTAGCAGGAGACAGCCAGCTTCTGGAGACTGTCAGCTGGCCGAGCTCAGGGTTGGTGGCATCGCCTATAATTATGTTGCAAAAATATCATCAGAGATAGGTTGGCGTCTGGAGGACTTGTTTTTAAATGTTCATTGGAAAGTACTGTCTATTTCAGTAGAGAGCTAACATTTTCCAGAAATGTAGGGTGTCTCATTAACAACTGAGATAACAAGCAGCCAATTTCAGCAATGCTTTCATGCTTCCTTATAAAAGAGCACACTGGAAAGTTGCTTCATCTGACGCTGGGCATGGCAGGAAGGTACGGGGTGAGAGAGACCTGGGTGTGTGTGTGACCTTGCAATATGGTGACTACTGTCTATCTTGTAATGTTGTGAGAATTACAGAGAGTATTCATGCCATATAAAAGGTCACGAATGGGGTCTGTTATTACTGAAAAGTACACCTCATAGTATAATACACTGTATCACAAAACACGAGTAATCATCCTCTATTAATCCTTAATATCCTTGTGAATGTGTTATTGCTTAGAAGAGTTAGTTCTAGAGTCCAAGCCTGAGATGAAACGCTGATTTCTAAGAGGCAAACACTCAGTACACACTATATTCTATTGTCATGAATCCTGAGGGGGACCAGTCCTGGGTGGGCTCCACTGTGACTCTACCCTCCTGTACCTGTCATTTCAGAAGAATTGGCTCGTTAGAAATGTGTATCAACTTGTACCCCACAAATTCGTCACATGGAACTATTTGCAGTTCTCCAAAACACCACGCTTCCTTCTCTGCTTAGAACCTTGTTCCCTCGGCAGGACAGCTTGCTCCTCCCACCTTCTGCTAGACTAACTATGAGGTCTCTCAGCTTCCAAGTGTTTTCCTCAAACAAGTCTTCCTTCACTCCCAACTTGATTATGCATCATTCCCAGCTGCCTTCTCCCTTAGCACCTCCATTTACCCAACTGCTTATTATACTGAAATTGCCAAATCATTGGTTAGGAGCTTGCACCTGGTTGGTACAAATTGTTATGTGCTTGACTATTAACTGAGAGGCAGTTTGAATCCACTCAAAGACACCTTGGAAGAAAGGCCTGGTGATTGCTTCCTTCCAATAGTCCCAGTCTTGAAAACCCTATGAAATGCACTTCTGCCTGCAACAGGTGGGGTCACCATGAGTCAGAATTGACTCGATGGCAACTGATTTTGGTAGTCATTGGTTTATCACCTTGGCAGTACATTAGGGAAAGATTGTGAGCATGGTGCATGACCGGGGAGTGTTTCGTTCTGCTCTCCACAGGCTTGCGATCAGTCGGAACTGACTCGACAGCACCTCACATGTGCCAGGCCCATGTTCTCAGTGCTTTATATATCTTATCTCATTGTAGTCTCATGTCAATCCCATGAAATAGGTATTAGTACAGATGAGGACGAAGAGCCTTAGCGAGGATAAATGATTTTCCAAAAGTCACACAAATACAAGTAGAATAGCTGGGATTTAAACCCTGGCCTGTCTGACTCTAAGCCCTTTGCAGTCAAGTGTAAATTTCTTGAGGACTTACAGAATTTAGTTCAGAGAAAGCATATTGTAAGTAATCACTAATAGTAACAATAATAAAACACTCATTGCCAAGTTGATTTGGACTCACAGTGACACTGCTAAGACAGAGCTGCCCCTTAGGGTTTCCAAGGCTGTAATCTGTACAGAGCAGACTGCTACATCTTTTTCCTGTGGAGTTTTGAACTGCTGATCTTTTGGTAAGCAGCCAAACACTTTAACCAGTGCACCACCAAGGTTCCTGGTTCACTTATAATAGCTATCATTATTTTATTATGATTGTTTTGCTCCAAGTAGACTATAAGACGAGTCATAGATGCTCACACCTCAAACACAATACCACAAGCAATGTGGAGTCAGTGTGTAGGGATCAGAATGTCACCTCCTGGAGAGCAAAGACTGCATTTGGCTTCATGCATAGATCCCAGGGTGCCATGGATGTCTTAATGTGGGTAATGTGTAGTTTTGTTCATGCAATCTCAGCATGTAAGAGATATTTCATTTCTTGTTACACTTCGACCTCTTTCTACTTCTGAACAAGGAGAGAGTGGGATAGCAGAGGAGCCCCAGAACAACAGTGAAAGCTGCTTTTTGATGAGACACACAGGAACCACCAACCACCTAAATAAACGTCCTCTTTATTTTACCAAATATAATTTATCAGTTAAGTTGACATTTGTCAATTCAGTTATAGTAACTATAAATAATTCTCTTAAGACACAGTTCTGTAACTTTTTAAGGATACAAGAGTAAACCAATATCGCTTCTTGCGGCCAGGCCAAAATTACATGCAGTTTGTGCAATCGGGAAAACAAATCTTCCATGAAAGCCATTTTCTTTCTCTCTCACTCCACAGTCCCCCTTCCGTTCACACACTCAGGGCCTGGGGCACGCCTGCCTTCCTACTTTTAGGCCCAGGAGGATGCTCCAGAGTCCCCTACGAGAGCCTGGCTCTACTTGAGATGAGGAAGAGGTGAGTAACTGGGGCAGGGGGGACTGGAGATCACAGGGCACAGTCTCAGGGCAAGAGGAGTTGGTTTTGGTGCTTGTATAAGAAGAGTCTGTGTGCAAGTGTATTTGGGGACAAGCTGAAAGGCCTGAAGAAAGAGCAGAAAAAAGCCCAGGCTGGTGTTAATGATCTCTGCCGGACACAACTCCAACTATATAATCTGTAAAATCCCTCCCAATTCTAAGGTTCTATACTTTCACAGGGTGGCCCGGATGGAAATGGAGGGAGAACAGTGTCAGGAGGTATTGGGCAAATTCCTGGAACAAGGCACGGTATTAGTAAGAGACAGGGTCATTGCTTAAGCCTTCCCTTGGCCTTGGGACCTTCAGGCTACAGAAAAGAGAATTTTAATAGAAAGGCTAGAGAAAGCTACACCCAAATGCAGGTTTGTACATGTGTGAATGTGGGACAACTTCCTATCTGTTCAGAGGAAAATGGAATAAGGGGAAGATTGGGAGATTCCGGTTTTCTTCCTCTCTATGTCAGGCAGAGAAGTCAATGCAGCTGGGTGATGGGCAGCCTACACATTCTGAATCCTCTTTTGGATGCCAGATGAGCAGAAAAAAAGACAAGGGAAAGGGAGGTAGGGTACTTCTGTGAAATGACCACTGGTTGAGAAATGGGGCCAGGGGCTCTACCTGTGGTCAGCATTGTGCAAAGGTGGGACCTAGGGAGCAGGAAGAGACAAAACTCGGCTTGGTGACATAGATACAAACACTTTCAATAAGGAAGCTTTCTCTGCCAGATTGAACAAGGTTCATTACCTTTGCAAACTGGGGGATGAGATGAGGTTAGAGCTGGGGGTCCCCACTAGCTGGCTAGTCAGTGCCTGGCACAGCACCTAACAAATAGTTGTTTTTGTTGTTAAGGGCTGTCAAGTCAGTTCTGACTCATAGTGACCCTGTTTAGGGTTTCTGAGGAGCAGCTGGTGGGTTTGAACTGCTAACCTTGTGGTTCACAGTCCAGTGCTGATCCTCAATAAATATTGCTCAGTGGATGCTTCAGATCATGCCTTCAGAAAAGCTAATCTTGGAGGAGGTTGCAGCTTTGTTGAATGAATGAATGAATGTATGAATATTTGTGGGCAGAAAGCAAGGAAGAGGAAACCCGACGTCCATGACATGATAGAATGTGTGGTTATAGGAAGGGACAGAATTTAAGGTGATCACACATGATTATGTCCTTAGGAGAAACAGCAGCAATTAAATCACCCCAGTTGCCCTCAACCTCCCAGTCATATTCCACATGTCCACACTCAGTTCCTAATTTCTGAATCCAACTTGGCAAGCTCTGGGGAAAGTAGTGCTTAGAGATATTTGGAGATGAAGGTTGCACTGAGACAAAATATCAGTACTCTGGGCCCAGGGAGAATGTGGATCTTGGCAAATCTATGGGTGGACGTGGGCCAACAGGGGAGACCAGGCCACTGGTCACTTCTTCCTGGATGTGGCAATCAACTGGACAAAGATCAGAGGAAGGGATGATGGTGTGTATCAGGCAATTAGATAAGACGCATGTCCACAATTTAAATAGTCAGTTCACCTCACTCTTTCTGAGAGTAGGAGGACCCAAGTCATAGACCAGACAACAAGGCTACGATTATAGGTGGGAAGAAGCGGCTATCTTCTGTCCAGTGCCTTGAGGTTTGTCTACTTTTAGAAGGGTATGTACTGGGGGTAGTGATACTTATCTCTTGTTCAATCAAAAAGAAAGGAAGGAAGGAAGAAAGAGCAAAAATCCAGAGCCTACTCCCAAAGGGTTTCTCATTAGGGTCAAAACTGAGATGCTAAAGCTAAACCAAATGTCCCCAGATCCCAGACAGAACACCCTTTACTCCACTCCTGGAGGCACCCACCATGAAACTGCACTTGGTGACTGTCTCAAATACCCACTGGTACTGCTTATCTCAGTCCATCTGTCCTTCCTGAATTCTTGCTATACAAACTTGGCTCAATGTATAAAAATTCCCATTGAAAATAATGAGAATTCAGTATCAAAGTGAAGTCCTAGAAAGAGGTGGGAGTGTGGAGTGGGAACAATAGAACAACTTCAAATAGAAAGTGCAGAGGGGTGGGGATAAGGCTGAGTGACCAAACTAGTCCCCAACATCTGTGTCCCGGTCCCCAATGAGCCAGAGGATATGGAAGCTGAGTGCTAGGAGCCCAGTGCCCAGCAGGTCCCCCAGAGCTGTCAAGTACGGGATGGAGAAGTTGTCTGGGTCCAGGCCCCGGCCCCACATCCAGTGCACCATCCAGTCTGCGATGTAAAGAAGAATCAGCACCTGGAGAGACAGAAGGGCCCAGCCTGTAACCATCCCCTCTCTCCAGGGGGAGCCAGAGACCGTGCAATCGCGCTATTCATCGCAGCAGAAGGCTTGGCTATTTACAATCCTCAGCTTGGAAACTCCACTGGTTCTCTCTACTGGGCTCTCCTCCCCACCCCCACCCCCATATTACCAACTGAAGCAGACAACAGGTGAAATGAGAGCTCTTTAGAAAGGCAGTTGCTACTACTACCTGGGATCATTGGCATCTGCATGACATTTTGCTCGCAAATTTACCAAACAAACCCAAGCCCTGATGCCAATTCTGACTCATGGTTGGCCCCATGAGTTACAGATTAGAACTTCTCCAGAGGGTTTTCTTGGCTGTGGTTTTTATGGTGCTGCTGAGTAAGTTCGAACCACTAACCTTTAGATTAATTAGCAGCTGAGTGTTTAACCATTTGTGGCTCTCCAAGGGGCTTCCCTAACCTAAATCCTACTCATTGCAGGGACCCAGAACTCTTGCCTAATTCTGGGTCATGCCATACTTGGGTCATTCCAGTTCCTGCATGTTGGCCTCTCTAGGAGCTGGCTGGTTGGGGGTTAGAGCCAGCTTTCCCTACGGAGATCCCCTATTGGAATAAGGGCAGAGTTTGAGGCTGGTACCGCACAGCTGTTTGAGTAATAGTTGATTGTCTCAACTGGCTTCCTTCTAACCCTCCCTTTCCATTCTACTGCTGTGGGCTCAAAGAATGCAAGTTAATTTTAACATTGTGTTGTTGTTGTTAAGTGCCATCAAGTGGATTCCAATTCATAGCAACTCTGTCTATGGTTTCCAAGGAGTGGTTGGTGGGTTTGAACTTTGGTCTTGTAGTTAGCAGTTCAAGGCTTATCTTACAGTGCCACACCAGGACTCCATTTAACATCAAAAGCAAAAAAATCAAACCCATTGCCAATGAGTTGAATGAAGCCTACCCATATCGACCCAGTGTTACCGTTAACAGACATCAAGTTGGCTTTGACTCACAGAGGTCCTGTGTAGCATTTTCAAGGAGACACTGGTGTGTTCAAACTGCCAACCTTATGGTTAGCAGTCTGTGCTTATCCTACAGTGCCACATAGGACATAGAAAAACTGCCCTATAGGGTTTCCAAGGCTGTAATCTTTATGGAGAGCTCTGGTAGTGTAGTGGCTACGAATCGGGCTGCTAATCTCATAGTCAGCAGTTCAAAACTACCAGCTGTTCTGTGTTAGAAAGATGAGGCTTTCTGCTCCCGTAAAGATTTACAGCTGCTGATTTTGAATCACTGACCTTAAAGTTAGCAGTCCAGTGCTTATCCTACAGCATCACCCCAGGAATCCTTCACAACTACAGGTAATTACGATCGATCTAGATTAGAATCTCGGGAGTCCTGGTGTGGTGCTGTGGGCTAATGCATCAGACTGCAAAGCCGTTTGAATTGCAACGTCAGTGGCTCAAGCTCACCAGCTGCTCCTTGGAAACCCTACACAGGGTCGTTATGGGTTGGAATCGACTTGACGGCACTTAACAACAACAGTATTGGTCAGGAGTCCTGGTGAGGTGCTGTGGGTCAATGTGCTGGACTGCAAAGGTCAGCTTGAACTGCAAGGTTGGCAGTTCAAGCTCACCAGCTGCTCCTTGGAAACCCTATACAGGGTTGCTATGGGTCGGAACTGACTTGACAGCACTTTACACAACAATAACAGTATTGGTCAGAAGACCAACAGCAGAAAACAAAAAGCTGGGTGCTTGTTAGAAATGCAGAATCTCAGTGTCGACTCTGGATCACCTGAACCAGTCTGCATTTAAACATATGTCGGAGATGTGCTTGACCAAAAATACCATGGCGGGGGCAGGCCTGCACTTTCTACATACTCTGCACAGTGTCTGGCACTGGACTACCTACATGACTGCATCTGCGTGAGATGAAATGGTTTCTAACAGCTAAGGTTAACACAGTCATTTGGAAAATTTTACTCTTGACTGAACTTTGCAAACATTGTGGTACAAAAATACTGTCTGAAGGGGCCCAAATAAAGGAACCAGAGCCCCCAGTGGGACCCAGAAGCCAGAAGTGATACACAGTTTTAGGCCAATTTGGTTGCTCTTGTGTGTCTGTTCAAGGAAGCCAGAGGGTTCGGTTCCAACACCCCTTCACATGCCCTGCTTGCCCTGCACAAAGCTGCCTTGTACTCCTATGGCCTTGGCTCTGGGTGAGGGCCAGCCCTCATAACTTCACACCCTTTCCAGCAGCTGCAGAACAGTCCCAAATAAAGAGTGTGGTCAGGAGGCTTTTGGAACGTGCCCCAGGCAAAGAATGACAGCAGCTGTTCTACATTCTGGCCTCCTGAGCAAGCCTGGGACACATGGGTGGGAGGTGGCGGCAAAGGGATCAGGGGAGACCTTTACAGGGATCAAGTGCCATGCTCAGGGCCTTCAAAGGCCCAGGGAAGGGCATCTCCCCTAGGGGGTTCATAATGGGTAATGGAGCTAAGATATCTCCTTTCCAACCTAGATTGAGGATGAGCTGAAAATCTCCAGCCACGCCCCCTTGGCATGCCCCATCACCTTCACATCCCCTCTGCCACCAGGTGAAGCGCACATGTGAGGGAAATTGCTGCAGGCTACTCGCATCAGGTGAGTCCCAGCCCCAGTCCTTCCTAAAATGTCCCAACACATAACCTATCTAAAACAGAAGTGGGGGGATAAAGGGGGGTGAAGAAGAAATACTGTTCATCAAAGGTGACTGATTCAATATAATCATGAGGTATCAACAGAACAGAACGCAGTCATCAAAAGTGAGGGTGCTCTTCTTTTTAGAGACTGATGTATATATTGATATGGAATGATTTCTAAGATAAACTGTTACATGAAAAAAGAAGAATGCAGAACAGTAGGTATAGGGTGTTACATCTGTGTACAAAAAAAGGAAAATAAAAATACAAAGGGGATTCAAAAAGCTTCATGATCTTTTAATTCCATTTCCCATGAACTTTTAAAGCCTCCTTGTATAGACGTCTGCTTGTGTAACTAGAGAAGAAACTTGACAGATACATAAGAAAGTGACCACAGTGGTGGGCAGGGAGGAAATGCGTGGGTGGCTGGGAAGAGGGCCAAAAGGAAGACTTTTCCTCACACACACTGTTAACCTTTCCACTGTGTATAGTGCAAACACTGTGTAACTGTTACTGCCTATTCCAAACACAAATACGAAATATAAAAGCACTCTATATAAACATGTCACCTTTAAAGATGAGGGGCAGTGTGGCTCTACAGGAAAGCATAGGAGAGTGGTGTGGGAATGGGACTGCTCTGTATCCTGACTGTGAGGGTGGTTACAGGACTCTTCACTTGTAATGAAATTGCACAGAACCATACACACATGTGCACACACACACAGACACAGAAAAGAGTGCCTGGAAAACTAGAGAAATGTGAATAAACTCACTGGATTGTACTAGTGCCAGTACAATATAAGAATGGTGTTCTAGAGTTATGCAAGATATTACCACTGGGGAAAAGAATGGAGCCTCCTTGCCCACTCCCCACCCCCACAACTTCCTGTGAATCTATAATTATTTCAAAATAAAAAGTTAAAAAAATGTCATAATATAACAAGGGAGAATGCATTACAGGATTACAGGATGGCAAAGCTGGACTAGACCTTATAGATTATTTTGTGCATTGGTTTTGACAGTTTTTCAAGATGTGGAATGCTTTATTCAAATCAAGTCTCCAGAAGCCCAGCATGCATGTACAGCTAAGTGACTCTGTGGCCAGATGGGGTGAAACCCAGAGCCCACCTGCTCAAAACTCCAGAAGCATCAGCTCCTCAGGGCACTACTTGAAAACCACTCCCTCTGGTCGATTCCTCTCAACTTACAGATATGTCACTAAGGTGCAGAGAAGTGATGCAACTGAGCCAAAGTCACACAGCATGTCAGTGACTGTTCTGGAACTACACAGCCTATTCTGAGTCCCTGCCCTGTTTACTGGCAGCTAAGACACAGAGAAAGAGGGGGTAGAATGTGTGATTGGCTGCGGCTGGGTCTCCTCTACTATTACTGCACAACAGTCTTGCCCACCCCCCACTCCACTAGTCTGTACCTGGAGCAGTGCAGCTGTCATGTAGAAGATGATGAAGATGAGGGTGAGGGTGGTATGCCCGCCCTGCATACAGCTGATGGTGTAGAGGAACACCAGGTGTCCTGGAACCACAAGGAGGAAGAGGACCCGGGCCGAGCGCGAATTCACATCTAGGTCCAGGGGAGAGACAGACAGTACAAGGAGAATGAGGAGGAGGGCGTTCTGACCCCATAAGTCCACACCATCCTCCCAGGCAGCAGTTGTCTCTGCATCTCCACCCCGTGGTCCCTCCCTAAGCGTATCCTGAAGAGGTGGTCATCTAGAACAGCTGGTGTGGCCCAGCATGAGAAAGGGAGCTTGTGTTCCCAGCCCCCACTGTTACTTAAATGAAGTTCATTGTTTCTTAGCACTCTTCCTCCAGGGATGAATGGACCCAAGTGTCTGAGAATGTGCATTACCAGGGCTGAAGAAGGTGGTACAAGGACTGGGGCAGCGGCGAGGAGCTTGCTCGGAGTTTTCCCCTGGCATCCCATTCATGTGGAGGAAGGTAGAGATGCGGCTAGCCTGGACTGCCACCAGATTGCCCCCAACACCTGCAGAGACACTTAGACATGTGGGGGAGGAAATGCACCACTTGTTCCTCATCTCTTATCAGTAGAGGCAGTGTACCCCGTCTTCCTTTAGTGTCTGAGTGGGTATCACCTGCTCACCAGAACCCAAGACTAGAGTGAGATGCTAAGAAGGAAGGCAAAGACAGTCCCTCTTCCAGGAAGTCTTCCAGGCTCCTCCCATCCTACCCTCTGTGGAGGTGCAGCAGTCCCGGAAGCCCCTGGTGGTCATCTGCCTTTATCCACAACCCTTCCTTCCCTCATCCCCAGTGCTCTGAGAAGACCCAGAGACCCAGGCACCCAGTGCTTGCTAGCTGGTTTGGTAATCAGCAGCAAGTGGGTTTAAGCTCTGAATTCTGGAATCTGGTTATCTCTGGCACCTCTATCAAGAATCGTGCCAGTCACTTAGTTTTCCCTGTCATTCTGCAACCTGCTCTGAGCCCCGAGACACTGACATCTGCAGATGGCACCACTCAGGCTGGCTGCTTCCAGTTGGGTTTGCTCAATGGGAGGCACCAGCAGATCACAGGGTAAGAGAGGAGATCAGGTACTTTGTTCTTGATTCCCTCATGCCTCAGGACAATGACTTGTCCTTGTGGGTGGGCTCTCATGGGGCTCTGATAACACTCTTTCTTCAGGACTAGACACCTCTCATTGTTGTTAAGTCTCTGGGTGCCTTAACCTTCCCACCTTATCCCACCGCCAAAATCTATGTTGGTCCTTTTAACCCAGCTCCCACCTCTGTGAAGAGTCCCTTCATTAAAGTCATGAACTACCTGATCTGGATTTTCTTGGCTGCTGGAACCCTAATACAGAAAACCCAGTTAAAATCATTTGTCATCGAGTGGATTCTATCTTATGGTAACCAGACATGTGACCAAGGAGAACTCTGCTCCAAAGGGTTTTCAATGGCTGACTTTTCAGAAGCAGATTTCTAGGTCTTTTTTCCTGAGGCACCTATGGTTGTGTGTGAACCTCCAACTTTTAGGTTAGTAGTAACCGAATGTGTAGGTGCCCTGGAGGCATAGTATGTTACACATTGGGCTGCTAACTACAGGGTCAGCAGTTTGAACCCACCAGTGCTCCTTGGGAGATAGAGAAGGCTTTCTGCTCCCATAACAATTTATAGCCTCAGAAACCCTGTACTGAGTCAGAACTGACTTTATGGTATATAACAACAGCGGCAGCAGCAGCCCAATGTGTTAACTGTTTGTACCACTCAGAGCTCCAGGTGCAGGCAGCAACCTCTAAGTCTCCTTTCCCTTGCTCTCTGCTGCTCTGGCAGCCAACATCAGATCTCACCATTAATCACAGGTGTGAAGACAGCCATGCCTGCAAAGTTGGGGTCTGAGACCGTCTTGTCCAAGATGAGGCCTCCCACACTACAAAGACACAAAGACAGAATGACAGCACTGAAAGGCTCTGCTCTGATCTCTGGGATGAGGGGCACAGGCCCACCTAGCCTTGGGGAGGAGGGGAGGCAGAGATGGGTCCCAGGAATCTCCCGTCCTTTGCTATCATCAGCTGCTGGTTCCTACATTTTGATTGTTCCTACATAGTGCTTCCAGACTCAGCTAGTGGTACCAGCTAAGGCAGCTTCGTCCTGTATCTATACCCCAAGTTGGCTAGGGGAGCCACCATGGGGTGACCTGCCTGTGAGGACCATTGTTGTTTTGTCTGGTCAGCATTTAAATCCTCTTCAGGTGACAGCACTAGGCTCGTGCGTAGAGAACCAACTCTCGGTCACTATAGGTTAAGGACACTGCTACAGTGATGGCTTTGTCCCTGGCCCACCCAATCAATGCACTGCATCCCTAAAGTCACATAGTGACTGGCTCAGGAATAGTCACGTGCCTCAATCACAGCTAAAGAACATCTATTCTGGGACTTTGTGCAACTGCTGGAGGAAAGAATCTCTCTCTCTCTCCTTTGGAGTAATGAACTTGGAACTGCCTGCAGACCATCACAGAGAAAAACAGAGCTGAGAAATGTCAGGTACTGGGGCCCCCATGATATTTTTTTGAGCCCTGGAACCCACTTCCCTGAGATCTGTAAGCTAGTACATGCTGCTTTTGAATCAAATCCATCTCAGGTGGTTTCTGTTACTTGTGACAGAAGAACTGAGTCACACTGTTTTTTTCGGGTTTAAGTGAAGGTATGTATGCAGGTCCAGAGCCTACCTGCTGATGGCCATGGCAATGATGACAGGCTCCCAGCCCGAGTACAACACCTCCCTTGTGGCTGGGCTCCGCCGGGCCAGCACCACCCACACAGGCAGCAGGGCCACGAAGACGGCACACACCAGCGGGTAGATGTATCGCCAGCCCTCTGAGAGAGGTAGACATCAGAAAGGAGGTGAGCACAGAGCTTGTTGCTCCTAGCCTTCCTCTGGCTGCTCAACCACACTTGTTAACCCCCACAGGCCACTAGCAACACCACGATATGCCCATAAATATAGTACTTGACTGGATCTTACCCAGCAGGTAGGCAGGACCAGCGTTCCCATTTTATAGATGAGAAAACTGAGGTAGAGAGCTGCACAGGCACTGAACTCATTAAGGACAGCGACCAGACCTTAGGTCTCTTGATTTTGATGCCAGAAATTACTGTATCTCCAAACCTTCATTTTGTAAGCAGTTTCTTTCCTTTGCTCATCCTACCTCACTCCTCCAAGAACAGTAAAAATCTCCAGGACCAGGCAGGACTACATTCCTCAGACACTTTCCCCCATTCCTGTCCCTGATGCCTGCATGAATTTAAGATCAGTACTTCGCCTCATCTAAGATTAGGTGCTGCTACAAACTGTGTTCAAATGGAATGATAAAAAACAGAGGTCTTAGCATATTTGCAAAATCAATACTATCTCTCAACCCTATCTACAAGTCTAAGCCTGGCCATACCCACAGGGTCTCAGTCTCACCCAGTTTCAGGTAGAGTCCCCAACTGATGCCTGAGAGCAGAGCCAAGGTGATGAGGTCGCCCAGGCTGGCAGCAATGGGCGTAGCCACATTGTCTGGGTTGATCCCAATCTTGCGAGAGCCAATGATGACCCCAATCATGATCATACCTGATGAGGAAAGGGAAGGGGACCAGGCAGGTGAGGGTGAGAAGGAAAACAAGGGGTATCACCAAACAAAAAGAGAGAAAAGATGGCCAATCAGCACATGAAACGATGTTCAACATCATTAACCATTAAAAACAAAAACTCACTGTTGCTGAGTTCATTCCAACTTACAGTGACACTGTAGGGCAGAGAACTGCTCTCCAGGGTTTCTGAGACTTTACATCTTTATGGAAGCAGACTGCCACATCTTTCTTCCAAGGAGTGGCTGGTGTGCTTGAACCACCAACCTTTCAGTTAATCGTCAAATGCTTAACCCACTGTGCCACCAGGAGTCCTGGTTCTTATTATGTGCCCTCAAGTCAGTTCTGATTCATAGTGATTCTGTAGAGTATTGCAAAGCTGTAAACCTTTATGGGAGCAGAAAGCTTCATCTTCCTCTCACAGAGTGGCTGGTGCATTAGGATTGCTGACCTTGCAGTTGGCAGCCCAGGGTGGAACCCACTATGCTACCAGGGCTCTTCACAAGTCATTAAAAAACATCTAAAGCCAAACTGACTGCTATGAGTCAATTCCAACTCACAATGACCCTATGTAGGGTTTCTGAAACTAAATCTTTACAAGAGCAGACAGTCTCATCTTTCTTCCTAGGAGTGGAGGGTGGGTTTGTGTGACTCCTTATTGGTTATTTGTTGTTTCTTTAGTGCTGTTGAGTCAATTCTAACATATAGCGACCCTGTACAGGGTTTCCAAGGAGCAGCTGGTGAGTTTGAACCACTAACCTTGCAGTTCAAACCCATCTGGAGGTCCAGTGCCTGTCCTATAGTGCACACCAGGCGTCCATTAGAGAGATGGAAACAAAAAAACCACTGTGGCTTGCAGTGAGATACCATCTCACCTCTATTAGAATGACAAGAATAAAAACCAAGAGAAAACAACATGCATCGGTGAGGTTGTGGAAAAACTGAAACCCTCATATGCTGCTGTTGGGAATGTAAACTAGTCCAGTCAGTGTGGAACACAGTTTGGTGTTTCCTTAAAACAATTGAACAAAGAACTACCATATCCAAAGCATATACCCAGAAGGAGTGAAGGCAGGAACTCATACTGAAACCTGGACCCCAGTTTTTGCAGCACATTTCACAATAGCCAAAGGTGGAGGTAACTGCAGTGATTGCCCATCTGCAGATGAATGGATGCTCGTATATGAATGGAATACTACTCAGCTACTCAGTAAAGAGAAATGAAGTCCTGAAGCATGCCATGATATGCATGAAGTTTGAAATCATCATGGTGAGTGAAATTAAGTCAGTTCCCAAAGGGCAAATATTGTTAAGGTCTCACTTATATGAAATAAGTAAATACGAGGGTAAGTCAAAAAGTAGTGTTACAAAATCACTGTTGTTGTTAAGTACCATCAAGTAAGTTCTGACTCCTAGAGACCCTGTATATAGGCTTCTGAGGAGCGGCTAGTGAGTTTGAACTGCTGACCTTAAGGTTAGCAGTCCAATGTTTACCTTATAGAGCCACACCAGGACTTCACAAAACCAGAAATAGAAACCTTTATTAAATGGAAATATCAAAATGGGAAGCTATTGTTTCTTGACACATTCTCCATCTAGGTCAATATATTTTTAAAGGCTGTGTTTCCATCTCTAACCGTTCCTCCAAAGAATTCTGTACTCTAATTTACATCACATCAAAGTGGCAGTGATTACATTCTGAGGGACTCACACCATGTTCCTTTTTAATGTTCTTTGAGTCTGGGGAACTAAAAGAGTCTGAAGGAGGTAAATCAGGGCTGTAGGGTACAGCCTGTGGGTAGGTGGGGTAAGCAAATGATCTTAGGACAGATCTTGTTACTCTCAAAGAATGAGCAGATGCATTGTCATGATGGAAAACCATTTCTTGGTGCAACTTTCCTGGTCTTCTCACCAATGCAGTCTTTAGTTTTCTTAAAACTTCTCAATCATAAGCCCTGTAAATTGTCCTATGTTCTTCAAGAAAATCTATCAAGACTGGAATCCCAAAAACCAGTCTCCACAGACCTTCTGAGTCAATCTCTGTTCTGCCTTGAATTGAACTGGCCCAGCAGACCCCTTCAGAAGCCACTGGTATGATTGGACCGTTTTGTTTTTGAAGGCACCCTAACAAGGCTAAGACAAGGGTATTATTGTGAGAATTGTCTGCAGCCACTACTGATCACAGAGACATATTTAAACACGTTTATTTTGGAATAAACCCATGTGTGTATGAACTGGAACCCTAGTAACAATACTTTTTGGCTTACTCTTGTGCCTAATAAAGATTATTTGTGGTTACCAGAGGTGGGAGAGTGGGAGAGGGGGATGCTTTGCTTAGCAAGCGTTGAGTTTATGTTAAAAAGGTGGTAGAATGATTTGGAAAAGGATCATGAGAATGAATGCCAAGCTTGAAGCGTGTATTCCATGGCACTGAATTGTATACGTAAGTGGTATAGGTTTTGTTATGTCTGTTTTCACCAGTTTTTTAAAAGGGGGCGAGCAAGGAGGCACCCAGCTTAGTTGACACTCGTTCCCCCATGCCCCACTCTTCCCTTCCTTACCCAGTACCAGGGAGGCGATGAAGGCCGTGGCCACACTGCTGGCACAGAGCAGGAAGGCATGCGGGATACTGAAGTGACCATCAGGAATCCAGCCAAAGATGACGGCTGCGATGGATGCTAGGAAGCCCACCACTGTGGCCTGCACCTGAGAGGAGCCCGGGAGTGGAGCATTTCTCAGCTGAGGTCACCGAGCACTTAGCCAGACCTCTTCCTGGCCCCCCCAGTAGCCCCAGGAGGCAGGCAGGGCTGGATTGTTCAGTCCTCACAGGCTGGAATGATGTCTTTATTTATTTAGTTTCTCACCAGACATTAGTACAGGGCCATGTACACTGCAGGAACCCAGCACATATTACTGACTGAATGAGCGTTCCTCTAGGGGCTGGGTGGATGTTTAACAGAACTAGAGACTTCAGTTCAGAAGATTCCCAGCGGGGAACTCATGTGGCCTCTTTGGGACACGGGACAATGGTGTTAAAGGACACTTCAACATGCCTGAGTCTGCTCCTAGAGCCAGGATCTAGGGAGCTCCCAGCCCCCTCACCACCTGGAACAGGGCAGTGATAACAGAGATGCTGGGACCCTTCTCCCACTGGCGCTTTTCTGGGGTGACTTGAGTCCCTCCTTGAGTTACTTTGGAAGAAGCCAGCTCAGCAAGGTGCTGGAGCTTCACTCAGGAGCCAGCTGGGTGGACCTGAGCCTCTCAGAGATGCCTAACTAAGGGGGGAACTCAGCCCACCCTCTTGGTCCCCTCCTTACTCACCTGGATGAGGGCCATATTCCCGGTGATCATCCGCCAGAGCTCCTTAGGTGTATCCATGTGCCCGATGTTGGCCTGGGAGAGGGAGGCAGGGGAGTGAAATACCAGGCTAGGCAGTGCTTGCAGCTCCACCACTGGGCCCCCGCCTGGATCAGGAGGCTGTTGGTGTGGCCCAGGACTTGGACTGGGACATGGCCACATGAAGAGTTGGTAAGAGGATTCAAGGGGCTTAAAAGCAGTTTCCAAGGCAGCCTCTTCTTTTCTCCTCCCCTTAGCATATCTATTGAGAAGAGGCAGCCCCCTCCCCCATCCCCTGCCCGGCCTCCTTTATCTGGATAGTCCAGATTAGGTTAGAATGACCTAACCCTTTGCCTGGAAGCCAGCTCATTGTTTTGGGAAAGGGGAAGCCAGCTGTTGGCACAGGAGTGAAGCTATAGGAGTGTTTGGGGAGGAGGGAGGTGGAATGGACTCGAGTAGGGACAAACTGGGATGGGCTAGCCTGGTTGCCCCTTCTACTCTGCTGCCTTCTCCAGACTCTTGACCATGCAAGGACACCCTGACACGTGGCTTCCTTGGCCTGCTGAGTTTCATCACCCCATGGCCCTGTTTGTGGTCCAGTCTCTGAACTGTCAAGGCTGATCTAAATGGTGGTGGGAGGGAGGAGCGATGAACCAGAGAGCAGTCCCTCCTTGTCCACTCCCCTGAAGAAGGAATGGACTGGGATGCGAGAGGGGCTGGAAAGCCTGGCTGGGCTCCTGCCCAGCTGCAGAGTGGGGCTGGAGATCAGAGGAGACCCCCATCTGTGCAGGTGGAGGGGCCAGCATGGTGCCCGCCTGTCAAAGCTGCACAAACAGTCAGGAGGTGGGCTGTGAGGCAGGGGGTGGGGCAGGAGTCCAGGAATGGCTGGGACATTCAGAAACTAAGTCTGGGAACTACTTTGGGTGGGGAGCCCCTGATCAGGCGCAGGGTGCCCAGCCTGGGATCTCCCTCCATCTGCCCAGCCAGTCCCCCTTCCCTTCCCAGCCCCTCACTCTAGGCCTGGGCGGTCATGAGACACTGTAGCTGTCCCCAAGTCTGATGTGCCCCTCCCAGCCAGGGCACTCACTGCGGTGGACAGTCTTGAGGCCAGGGTCATTTCTAGGTTCCCCTTGAGCCCCAGCAGCGCAGGCACCAAGATGAAGACTTCTGTCACCTTCTGGAAGACTTCCCAGTGCTACAAGGTGAAAACAGAACCCAAGAATTTCAGTGCGCAGAAGGGCTGGCGTTGAGGCTAAAATGATAGTTGGGGATCAGGGGCTTGAAGAGGAAATGGGATCCGCAGGGAGCAACCACACTGGTTGCCTTCCCTCCAAGAACCCTGGAACCAAACCAAGCCCACAGTTCTTCCAACAATACAGTCCCCCTTTTTGCTGCCCAGAACAGGGGAGGCAAAAAGGCTCTCTTTTGCTGAGGAGGCCCCAATTCTGACTCTATTTCCTATGCCTGTTTCTCTAGAGTTGGGTGAGAAGCTGCTCAGTTCAGCCACCTCGGACTGACTCCCACCCACAACTTCACTGTAAGCCCACCTCAAATAGCAATCCCTAACCCCTTTTGCCTTTAGTCCACTTTCTCTGCAGCCTCAGCCTTGGGTGATGTTGTCTCAGCTGTTGAGAGCTGGGCTCCATGGGGCTGGGGCTGAGGAGATTAGAGGGTTTGTTTGGTTTCCATCTCCAAGGGCTTTGGGCCTCAGCCACAGCAGCTCTCTAGAACAGGCTCTGGGTTACAACTGTGGCCCCCCAAACCTCTGAAGGCTGGTCTGTAAGAGGCTGTGTATTCCTATTGCTTTCCCCAATCTCTCAGTTAGGAGAAGCAAGTGTGACCCTGTGGAATGAGCACCGGACAGGGAATCATAAGAAGTGAGTTCTAGTCATGGGTGGCAATGGAGCCCGGCTCTCCTACCTGTTGCTTTAGTTACCATTTGCTAAGTACTGACTATGTGGCAGCCAAGGTCCCTGGGTAGAACAAATGGTTAACATGCTCAGCTGAGAACGGAAAAGGTGATGACTCGAGTCCACTCAGTCAAGCTCCACGGAAAGCCCTATGGAGCTCAGTTCTACTCTAACACACGTGGGGTCAGCAGGAGTTGGAACAGACTTGACAGCAAATGGTAAAAATGCTAGGTGAATTCCTTTATGTGTATTTTCTCATTACATTTTCTTAGTGAGGGATTATTGTTCATCCCCATTTTTCAAAAAGAGGCAAGAGATTCCAAGAGTAATATCCCACTTTATGTTAAGGAGGGAAACTCTAGGAGCTGGGATTGACTACTTAGAAATCACTTTAGTTGAAAATGAAATGGAGGGCTTGCAGAAAAGGGCTGGCGTGGTGTCTCAGACCTCATGGCCTGGACGGGGCAATGCTGAGTTTCCTTTATTTGTTTTGAGAAATGGAAGGCTTCCAGGTTTGGTGAGGGCAAAGTGAGCGATAGCTGGGCGGATGTGGGAAGGTGGCTCAGGGAACCATGGTCTATAAGGCAAGGTTCTGTCATGGGCAAGGACACTGGATTAAAAGTTTTGGGGCTCCTATTAGAGGTCTCAAGTGAGGGGCTTCTCCACGCAGACCAGCTGGGGACAATAGGCAAATGGCAGAGGCCTAAATTTCCTGACTGTAAAATGTTCAATTCAGAGTCCAGATGAGATAATCTCTGAAGGCCATAGTTAAAGATAAGCAAGGATATTGGAGGAGACTGGGAATAGCATGAGGAACCAGGGCTGCCTAGATACTGGGGAGGGGCAGGAAGAGGGGTGGCAGTAATCTATAAGGCAAATCAGTTGCCAGTGTGTCAGAATTGACTCTTGGTGACATTAGAATAGAGCTGTGCTCCACACTATTTCTAGTGGTTGATATTTTGGAAGCAGACCACTAGGTTTTTCTTCTGGGTGCACGTGAGCCTCTGATGTTTCCTTAGCAGCTGAGCATGTTAACCATTTGCATCACCTAAGGACTCTGGCTGAAGACAAGGATGTCTTTTTTCCTAGATTTCTCTTTACGGGGGAGGGGAAGTCCCCCTACAGGTAGAGGGCATAGCATTCTCCTTAGAGAAGTCTCTCTCTGGGGACTAAGGAGGGAGAAAAAACTCTGTTGCCATTACCTCTACCTCAGCAACAGTTGTTAACCCACAGGAGGAACTAGCCTCACCCAAATGCTGGAGGAACATGAATTCTTTTTTGCCCACAGGGCCCCTAAAGAGAAGGTAGCCCCAGTAAAACAAAGGTGCAGAAGCCATCTCATTTGCCCTGGAGCAACTCTTGGCTGTTGGTGGTACATACCGCTGGGGCTCCAGCTCCCCACAGTCACGCTCCTTCTCTCTCAAACCTGATCCAGTAACTCTGGAGAGGGGGACCATCCCCCTTTCACCCCACCTCCATAAGGGTGGCTGTGGCTGACTGGATTTTTGAAGAGCCTCCCAGAGCAGGGCTTCACGTCCTAGCCTCACCTGTCCTATCCTCTATTGCCTGATCAATAGGAAGTGTAGTTCTCTGTTGTTGTTGTTAAGTGCCGTCGAGTCGGTTCTGACCCATAGCCACCCTGAACAGGGTTTCCGAAAGCCTCATCTTTCTCCCGCGGAACAGCTGGTAGTTTCCAACTGCTGACCTTGCAGTTCGCAGCCCGATTTGTAACCACTACGCTACCAGAGCTCCTTCTTTAGGCAGGTCTAAACAATGTGAATGTACTGACAGTGTGAAAAGTCCTCGAAGGAGACATCCCAAGTGCAGGCAAGTTTTTGGAATTGTTTGCAATGACTACCATTGTGGTTGGGTGGCACTGAGTTGGTTCTGACTCACAGTGACCCTCCGTCATAGTACAACAGAACGAAATACCTCCCCATTTTGAGCCATCCTCACAACTGTTGCTATGTGTGAGCTCATTGTTGCATCCATTTTGTTTATTGCCTGTATTTAATGTTGTTGTTTTTTAAGGTGTAAAGTTCAGTCCTGGAGTGGTGCTGTAGGATAATCACTGGACTGCTAACAACAAGGTTGGAGGTTCAAATCCACCAGATGCTCCTCATAACCCCTATGCTATGAGTTGGAACAAATTCAACAGTACTTGACAACTACAGTTCTTCTAGCTGCCACTATAAAACCAAACCCAAATTCCACTGCCTTTGAGTCAATTCAGACACACAGCAACCCTGTTAAGTTGTTGTTAAGTGCTATCGAGTCAGTTCTGACTATAGTGACCTTTTATAGTGACCTATAGTGACCCTTTATAGGGTTTCCGAGGAGTGGCTGATGGGCTTGAATCGCCAACCTTGTGGGTGACAGTTCTGTGCTTATCCTACAGTGCCATACGAGGTAGAACACCCCAAGTCCTTCTATCACTCCCAACCCTCCATATAACTTCTTTTCAACTACACAGTGTTAGTAAGGATCACACAAGGCAGGCGGAAGAGACATGGAGAGCAAGCAACCTTACCCCAAAGTCTTCAGAGCCCTCACAGAAGATTATTTCACATAATATAGCCTGGAACCTCACACTATCTGCTCCCATCCCAGCCAGAGCCTTGAGTTGGCACTTGAGTCATAGTTGCCAAATTTACAAACATACTTTCTCATTTACAAGACCATCTCAAAGATGCAGTGCAGGCAGAGAAGTCTCTGACACACAGGAGATTCTGGGAAGAAGTGATGCTGGAAGACAGGTGAAGTGGAATCAACCCAGAAAGCAGGGGGGCCCTGAGGCCAAAAAGTGGGCAGGGTGGTAGGGACAGTCAGTGAGTACCTCTACTTCCTCCTCTGGCCTTAATTCACGCCCATCTAGACCCTGAAGCCAAACCTGTCAGCCAAGTGGCAGCCAAGGTGCCACCCACGTTTTCCTGCTCTGCTGGGGATGGAAAAGGGCACGTTGCAGAAAGTGTAGCCCAGTGCGAGTGGGGAGTTATTGACAGATTTTCACTGTTTCTTAGAAACATAGCGACTTTGCTCCTTCTTTCTTTATCTTTGAGGGGCTCCTTAGCAATGGATATTCTGGGGTTGAAGGATGAGACCACTCTCCCATACTCAAAAATAATTTTGCTCAACGCAAACCCCCTTCCAAGACTAAGACTCAATGGAAATGCACACTCTGATTGGTGACCACACACATCACCGATGGGGAGAAGTGGGGTAAAAGCAGCAATGAAGTGGCAAGCTAAGCCCTACAATGTTCAGTGAACTTCTGTGGACCCAGTTGGGGACCTGGATGGCAAGCAGTGTGAAGAGGCCTGGGGACTCTTGGGCCCCCAGAGTCAGTGGTGTAGCCACGGAGGACTCGAGAGGAGAGTGGAGCTACCGGCTGACGGGAAGAGAGGGCATATGCACAGGAGCGCCCACACTTGCAGATGTGACCTGGACTGGATGACTGGATGATCGGAGCTCAACCAGGAGAGGAAAGAAGAGGGGGGAAAAAAAAAGAGTGAGCTGATACAGTCTGATGAACTTGACCTATACCTATGGAGCAGCGACTCAAAAGAGGGAACAAATCCTCACAGCAAGAAACATTCACACACACCCCGACACACAGAGTAGACGGAGAAGGGCAGCTTGGACATTGGATACGCAAATGGGGAGTGGGGGACTACAAAGGCAAGAAGTGACCAGCTTACAAACTTTCAAGAGGGAACCTGGTGCTAGGGAGCATGGCGGAAGGCAGAAGCTCCAGTAGGTACTATTCAATCTGTCTGGGCGGAGCTGATGAAAGGAGATACAGATGGGTAATTTGTGATACTATAGTGAATAATGCTTATCAGGACGGATTATGAGGGTTAGAAATGCAAAGGTGGAAGCTTTGTAACAAGGAAGGGAGTGATTAATTCTCCAGGATAGGAGCGGAGGCCTCTGGGACCATCAACGGAGAAGAGCCAAGAGCGGGACCCTGCCCAGAGAAACAGAGATGCCTGAGATGGAAACAGTGATGATGACGTGGAGTGATGAAGCGACTGGGGACTTTGGACCCAGAGAGGGAAAGGGACTGTGGGCTGAAAACTGGGGGGAGGAGGGGGTAGTGTAGGGGGTGGGTTTCTGGGATATACCCTTTGGGTGGTTGATGATGCATGGAGGGGATTGGAACCATGGCAGTGAGATGATACACGATGGAATGAATGTAAAACTAAAGTTCTCCCATGTAAACTATCATATAATTCACAATAAAACTTAAAAAAAAATAATAATCTTGCTTCAGAGCAATCACCCT